TAATAAACTTTCAATTCATTTAAAAAACATTTAGTATTCTTGCCATCTACAAAACAAAAAATTTGTTTTTTTTTATTTATACAGTGTCACTTACTAACAATTAGTATCTTATTAGGACTAGTGATTTATCAATTTTATTTTTGCAAAAGATAAAAAAGAAGTTGTTAGTTAAATTCAGCTTCTAGTTTGCAAGTGCTTTTGGAGGATTGTAAACGTCCAAATATGTTTGATTTGCCAAAACAGTGAATCAGTTTAGTTTCTGTATCGTCAAGAAATTTTTCGTTATAACCGAGGTGATTTTTTAAAATTAGGTATAGTGAAAAATCAGGCTTTTTAACATTTTTCACGTTTTTTAGCTGAGTTGTTTAAATATTTGTTGATAAAATATATATATTTTTTTAATTTTGGAATATTCATGTAGTCCCATTTTTATTTGTTCTTTAAGCCAATATTTTATTGTTATTTTACTTCAGTTTGTCTCGACTGCAAAGTTTTTAGGTTAGTTAACGTTTTGATGATTTCTGTTTTTCTAACTTTCACGTTCTTTCTATTTATTGCATGATTTACAGTTAATTTTGCCTGTATGTTTATCGTTACCGTTCATTTTGGTCTGTCTACCCTCGTTGGGTAAATTTGTCAGAAGCGTTTCAGCCTTTCGCCATCTTTAGATATGTGTCTGTGTGATTTTCGTGAACTGAAGATTCTTTTATCAGAATGAAAGATGCAATGTAAGCACTTGAGCATGAAGCAAGTATTTGAATGATGAAGTGCTTATGTCAGCATAACCGTTTTTTGTAGGTGCTTTTGGTAGATTAAATCTAAATAAAGTTTGAAATCATAAAACAAGTAAGTAGTATTCTTGCCATCTAAAAAACAACAAAATTGTTTTATTATCTATTGAGTGTCAATTACTAGGATCTTATAGGGCTGGTAATTTATCAATTTTATTTTTGCAAAAGATAAAACAGAAGTTGTTAGTTTACATATTTTAAAATGCTATTTGTAAATTTTTCCCCCTGTGTGTGCAATGAAGTGTGAACCGCGTAAATCGCGCTTCCGATCGCGGTTTCCGTAAGAAAAAAATTATTCCACGCTTCTGAGTCGGATTATGGGTAGATAAGCGGAAGGCGGTAAGCTGGTTTCTACCTGTTATGAGAAGCCCTAAGGAAAAGGTTGAAGGCCTAGATGCCCGGGCATAAGGTAAGAACGGGCCCTTTTATTATGGTAAACATATACGGCGACACAAATTCCCCCGTAGTGCCTCCCGGGTTGTAGTACGATCTCAAAATAAAGGCATAAAATGGCCTCGGTAAAAATAAAAATACAACCCCGCCATACGCCAGATGGAATACCCTTATGAAAAGCAGCTGTGTACACTGACATGTGGTTTTTACGTTGTTAAACTTCCTTCTTGTCCCTCAACGTGATCCTATTAAGGTATTTGAGATGGAAAGGTTTTCAAATTAAAAAATCACAACTATTACCCAAGGATTTCAATGCAAAATGAAAATAAGGAAGTTGCTTAAATTAGCACAAAGAAAAATGTGTGGTGATTAGTGACCGTAGTCGATGATTATTCGAAAATCGTGAGATGCGGTCTGGTGTGATGTAGGTTTCAGAACAACATTTTCTTTATCGTGCCAACATTTCGATCTCTATTGAGATCATCTTCAGGGCCAGGGATTTCAATCAAAGTATTTCTACTCACGCAAACTGTTTGTTTTCTGCGTAAGTAATATATAAAGTATATATAAATATATAAAATACAAATACATGTAGGATGTGAAAAAATGAGTTTATACAATGCTAGAAAATTTTTGTATTTATAAGTATAAATATATAAAGTATATATAAATATATAAAATACAAATACATGTAGGATGTGAAAAAATGAATTTATACTATGCTAGAAAATTTTTGTATTTATAAGTATAAATATATAAAGTATATATAAATATATAAAATACAAATACATGTAGGATGTCAAAAAATGAATTTATACAATGCTAGAACATTTTCGTATTTATAAGTATAAATATAAAAAGTATAAAATATCAATAGTATTTGTAAAAATTTAAACAATGTTTATAAATCCCAGGCTCTGAAGATGATCTCAATAAAGATCGAAACGTTGGCACGAAAAAGAAAATGTTTTTCTGAAACCTACATCACATCAGACCGCATCTCACGATTTTCGAATAACAAAGAAAAATAACAATGACAAATAATATTAAACTAATTAAGTTTTGAAAATCATATTGTATATGTTAATTTTACTTCCAAACCTAGAGTTCGATAAACAGTTATTTACACTCTTGCCAACTCTCATCATCCTAATTAGCCTAAACTCGCTGTATGTGTTTTTCGTCACTTCAAAAAAATAATTTTGATAAAGCATGTACGGGTTTACATAAATTCTTTTTTTATGGCTGAGTAATTTATTATGAAAATCACAGTACCGGATTTTAAAAAAATCTTTTAAATTAAATTTTGAGATACTAAAAGTTTTTTTTTAACCAGCGAACACTAAGTCATAGCTGGCTGTCGAAGTGTCGATACTGTTTTCCTTTTGTGTGTTTTTTCTCACCCCGTTCACCCCTTTGTATATTAATAAATGTTTTTCTACAAAAACCGGACCATCCACACATATTTGTCAGCAAGTCGCCGAGGCGAATTTTTATTCTTCATTTATAACTTTCGTTGGTATTCTATATTCCGATGGCAGCCGACCATCATTCACACAAAATACCAAACTAATAAAACATTCATACCCAAATATCCACAATCAATCTCACAAATAAATACAGTCTCTCATCATTTGTTTACACCTTTCACTAAACTTTTTACAATTAAAAGTATATAAGGGGCCACCAGGTGAATAGCATGAGTAGTGACCATTGGCGAAATATCGAATACCCCGTTAGTACCCAGTAATATTTTCTTTTTGGATTATTTTTGTACTAACTCCAAGAGTTTAAATGAAGTTAAAGACATAACATAAAATTAAGCTTTTCCATATGATCACAAATAATCAAAAATGGACTAGGATTCAAGATGGATTTATTTTTCAATACGGAATGATTTTTTGTTACATGGAATTCATTATTAACACCATTACATTGCCAATTAGTTTAAATAATTTCGGTGCTTACCAAGTAATTCGTTTTAATTAAAAAATAACCCAAATTGTACAGTAGGACATGCACTGTTTTTCCCATGGTGCTTCCCATAATTTTGTATACTACTATTATGCATTATTTTTTTCATTATTACTTTTTTTGTTATCGTTGCCTAGAGTAGAATACTAGTCAACTTTCTGATAAACTCTTTTCAATTAATTAAGGTTTTGGTTAAGATAAAAGACAGTGTCACAAGCGGGATTCAAACCCACGACCTTCGGCTAAATACGCCGCTGCTCTACCACTTGAGCTATCCACGCGGACACTAACTTCCAATCCCAACCCCACCTTTTGACTTTTCCCTCCTTTTTTCCCAATTTTTTTTATCTCAACCAAAACCTTAATTAATTGAAAATAATTTATTTGGTCAAGCGGACCACGAAAACTAATAAAATTTCTGATAAACCTAGATCAGCCGTGATTGTATTAACCTATATGTTTTGTATATTTTGTATTATTAACTTTATACTTGTATTATTGCTTTAGGGTTGAACACAGATCAGCATTATTTCGTTTTTTGGAAATAAGTGTCCAATGGCTTCAGTAGTAATATGACCTACAATTGCAAATAACCAAAACGTAAAATCCTATTTAAAAATTTTCTTTATAATTTATGTAGCAAATACATATTAATAATGCAACGGCGATTTTTGTATTACAGTTACCAAATAACATTACAAATTTAGTTTTATTCGGACCAACCACGTTCTGGTTTACGTCATATATATCGAACTTTTTTTCTTTTATTCTTTACTTACATAAAGATTGAAATTAAAATTTAAATCCCTTTTTTCTGTTTGATTTCTGAGGAAATAAATTACCTGTTATGTATGAAAATCACGTTAAGGTGCAGCATGGGCGCCAGTATGATGTAAAGCCTATTCATTCCTGGCATCCATTTATGCTAATTTCCTTTGAATCATGCGTACGATAAGCGGGAGCATACAGGCTCGTTTAGAATACCGAAAATATACCGTCTGGAAGAGGTTAAAATTTCCAGTTTTGACTGATAAATATTACTTCATTTAATTAGTCCGTTTTTTTATTGATCTAATATTTATTGACAAATCAGTCTGAAAAAATCAGTCAAACCGTTTCGCCACTCTGTCGTATAATTAAATTAAGCCTCATAATTTAGTTGAAAATCCTCTTTATCAATTGACGTTTTAAACGGATCGCTTTATCGCAGTTCTAAACAATTTTCCTTGGGAATCGATCCCTCATTATTCGTCATCATGTGCTTGCGGGGAAATAAATATTCAGGTGAGCTTTATTGGACGAGGCTTAATGGGCTTCGATAATTAAGTCAGGTACCAAGTTTAATGAAAACAGTTGAGTCGCAATGAATATGTAATGGCAGAATCCGAATTAGGTTTAGAAAATGACTGGCCACTTATTTGGAAGTGTGGAAAGCTGTGTTTGTATCTATAAACTGCATTACACGCTTTGCATAAATAATTAGTGACAATTTCAGAAATTTAAATTAAATGTATTTTTAATATGTTTCCTCTTCTGTAATTTAAAAAGTATTATTAAATTATTTACGTAGCATGGCGTGTATGTTTGTTGAATGGTTCTGCATAGACAAAGGTGTACGCTTCGCTTGTCAGATCGAAAATGAGGAATGGTTCGTTCAAGCAGAAGTGGTGGATTTGTGATTGGACAACGTTGGATCGCTTCGATAAATAATTCACTCACCGAAACGACATTTACACAAATATATTAATTTACAGTCAGATATTGTAATATATGATTGTATTACGTGTCGTTAATAGTCCGTTTAAAAATTTCCCAATTATTTTATTATATATTTACTTTCAGGGCTGCAGGGCGGATCTTGCGTTGTGAAGAAATACCGCCTTAAGAAATGATAATGTGTGTCGTCAATGAATATGTAACACTGAACATAATCGTCGTAACTCGTAATACTTGTATAAACAATATACTAATAAATGTAATAAAATAGCAGTCTCAAAACAGTTTTGATTTTTCAAATAACTAAACTTAAGCAAAAAGAAAAGAGAAAGAAAATAAGCAGACAAATAAACATTTCACCAATGATTCTGACCACTTACATTTTACGCTGTATTGAAAAAAGTCGAATCACAACTAAGTAACTCAGAAGTAAATTAAAAATAAGAATGATCTTAAGGAACTTCCATGTTAGGTCAAAGGATCTATCTGATTCCTATATCATTCTATCACCATTAAGTTTTATACATTGCCACAAAATATGTATACAAAATCGAAGAAAAGTTTTAACATAGCATACTGATGAAGTAAATTAAAAGTTACAATAGACTTAAGAAACTTCCATGTGGTACACCAGATATATTGCTTCTGTTTCTTGCTTTTATTTCTATACTATGCAAATAAGAAATCAGCAACGTTTTTGCACAGTATTAAACAATCGAATCACAGCTTAGAAATGGTATGATAGACACAGAAGTTAACTAAAAATAAGAACTGCCCTAGGAAAAATCCATAAGATACATTTGGGGTAAAAGGAATTGACTGATTCTTAGAGTTCTACTTCACCATTCTTTTGTACAAACTATTTATCAACGTATCTTCACAAAATCGTCGAAAAATTTTACCAGAGCTTAATATTTGTATATTGACGAATTAAATAGTAAAGTAGCCCTAAGAAATTTCTACATACGCAATATTTAAACCTCTTTTATTCTATTAGTACTATTGCTGTATAAGCCCAAAAAGGAATAAAAGTAATCACTATATTGAAGACTTTGACAGTAATAGTATCAGAAACATATAAGTAAATTAAAAATAAGAATGGCCTTAAGCACAAAGGCATGATTCCTAGCTTTCTATTTCACCATTCTTTTATACAAACTATTCATCAACGTATCTTCACAAAATCGACGAAAAATTTTACATACCTTTTTTGCTTAGTATTTGTATATTGACGAAGTAAATTAAAAATAACATAGTCCTAAGAAACGTCTATACACGCAATATTTAGTGCTCCTTAATTATATTATTACTATTGCTGTACAATCCCAAAAGTAATAACATTCAGCACTATATTTAAGACTGTAACATTAATGGTATGTGAAAAAATATAAGTAACTTAAAAATAAGAATGGCCCTAAGCACAAAGTCATATAGATGAACGTATCCGTACAAAATCGAAGAAAGTTTTCATCACGGCTTAATCTCTGTATATTGATGAAATAAACTAAAACTTACAATGAACCTCAGAAATTTCTACGTTATTCAAATGTTAAAAAACTATTCAACAACGACTTTTTACAATATTTAAGAAATTCTAACTACAGCTCAGTAATAGTGCGTAAAAGAAAATGTAAATTAACAATTAGAATAACGCTAAAATAGCCCATATTATATGCCATATTTACAGGTATAAATATTTTTCTAATTTCCATTTCTATATAATTATCTTCTCAATACGAAAAACAATTGTAAAAATTCTCATGAAGTCGTATCAGCTTAGTATCGGCATTCCAATCAATTTTACACAAATTTAATCTGATGGTTAAAACAAAGAGTTAAAATCTTCGCCCCAGTGTTTCAGCAGGGTCCGTTATTTATGTAATGATGTTTTTCACTAAAACTTAACATTCAAACCGACGAGAAAATGGCTTTAGAATAATAAGCGGCTGCAAACCCGATCAATAATAATCAGACATCTGGCCAAATACTATTCCTTACTTTTGCATCATTTAAAAGTTCTATTGGATTTTCCAAGAGCATAAATCCGCTAATTACCTTCATTATAATTTTTAATAGATTCACTTCCTTCTCTTTTATTGGAGTTTTCAGCTCTTTCCATTTTTAATTAACTAATATACTTTCTTAGATTCTGGTAATGGTAATAAATAATTTTATTTCTATTATTTTAGTAAAGCACGGCATTTGATTTCATAGTTATTTTATTAAATCTACTTATAAATATACATTGAGAGACAATAAAAAGTGGCCGCCTTTCATATTTTTAATTATGTTTTAGAAAATCTTCCATTGATTATCTTACAAAAATATTTGTTCCGTTTTAAAGGATTAGTGGTAAATAAAACACAGATAAAATCTGCCACTTGTGTTTACAATTGGATTTTGTAAATCTGTGTATATTCTATCTCTTTTTTGTTGCTTTTTCTGTAAAGCTTCGTTTGAACGTTCCGGTGGTTTGATTTTTTTAAATTGTATCACTTTTAGGTTTCGAATTTATGTAGGGTTACAATCTTCCTATAGGTCATTAGACAGGTGAAAGAAAAAGAAGACTAAAGGCTGGGTTCACCGAGCTTTCGGCATGCCAAACCAAGTGCCATCATCAGAGTCTATTTTATTACAAATTCCAATAAATACATAGTAACATACAATTAACAATTAATGTAATAAGAATAAAGAAAACATGCAAAACTGGGTTTTGGGTTTAAGATTATGGAGCAAATGGCCAGCATAATACATTTTTGACGGTGCAAACAGACATCTACATAAAATTATAAGTAATTATTAACATACAAAATTTATATTTGACAATGAATACAATAATTTATAGTAAAATAAAACAATACCTCGCTAAAAATCCATCTAAATAAAGGTCCAACTATTTTTTGTTGTGACAACCAATTTCTCACAAGTACATTTGTAATCACAGAGAATATATTTAAACACTAAAATTACATCTATTTACAGAAACTATGTAAAAGGATTAAAATTAATGAGAGAGAAAGCGACGAAACGGTTGGACTGCTACGATTACTACTCGATTTCGAATTTGTTTGCGTGATGGTTTTGAGTGATACAGATTCGGCTAGAATCATAGCATTATTGGAAAATGGAAGACGTCAGACGTACGTGGCCAGGGTGCTTTGCGTTCCCGGAACAACTGTCCGAAAGGTATCGCTACCTAGATACAGGAGGTTAGTCAAAAAGCCATGGATCAGATCGCGATCGTTCACCTGAAAGAGATGATCGTTTTATTGTTTCGAATGTACTTCGTAATCGGCATTCTACCGCCGTTGAAATCAAGCAACGACTTCAACAAGTAAGAAATGTTAATGTTAGTTTATGCACTGTAAGGCGAAGTCTTTCAGAAGCTGGTTTACGTGGGAGAAGGCTTGCCACTGTTCCAGAACCTCTGATAAAGCACAGAACAACTAGGTTAAGTTTCGCAAGAAATCACATCATGGAAGGTAGCACAAACTTCATCTTGGTTCCCTAATAATTACGCAATAAATTTTAGATTTGTTATCAGAGGTTTTTCCTTATGTAGCCAATAATTGGCGACGGTTTTATTTTTATGGCAAAGCAAGGCCCCACACAGTGAAAAAACTTTAGTTAATTAGACAAATAAATTAAATTATATAAATTTATATGTTTCTGGTAGAAGGGCTAAAATTTTAAGTAGTATTTTAAGATGGAAGTATCACCAGATTGATGTTACCCACTGATAGTTGATGTAAAGTAAAACTTTCCTTTTTTATACTTATTTTTTTATTCCAATTAATTATTATTTTTATCTATGGTTTTTCAGTGATATGAAAAATAGTGATACGAGCGGGATTCGAACCCACGAACTTAAGCTCAATACGTCTCTTCTCGAACCAATTGAGCTATCGTGGCGTTTATCAGAGTGAATAAGAGAGGGCTGGTGATGGAATTTTAGTGCTCTTTCGACCCTCAATTTTATTAGTTATGTAGTATGTGTAAAGGGTGAAGACGGGATTTCAATAACACCACTCTACTCGAGTCTAGATTTAAAAATTACACTTGCGCTGATAGTTGAAATGACCTAGCTGTTGATAAACTCTAAATCCTAACTTAGGCGTTGGAACAGATAAGATTGATGTCTGCTCGCTGGACCGCCAAAACAAAAAATAATAATTTTTTATTACATTTATTCTACAATTTAACGTAAATAATCAAACTTTATTTTCGAAATATACAGAGTATTATTTTTTCCTCTTTTCTATTAATGCGTTGAAACCTGTGCCATATACCTATTTAAGCAGGTGGTTTATTTTCCCCGTACCACTTCTTTTTCAATTTTTTTATTGTGTTTGGAAATATGTACCACTAGCCAAATTGAGCGGATGGTTAATTTTTTCATGAACAACTTATATTTTCTAGTCTACTATTCTGGTCATTGTTACCAATTACCAACCTATTGCAATACCAATTAATTATTCTTTTCTTCTAAGATTTTTGGTTGAGATGAAAAATTAGTGTCACGAGCGGGATTCGAACCCGCGACCTTCGGTTCAATACGCCGCTGCTCTAAACACTTGTGAGCTATCGTGACTTCCATCGCCTCGGACACCAACTTCTCATCTCAACCTACAACCGTTTGAATTTTCCATCTTTTTTTGCCATTTTTCAAACCGAAGGTCGTGGTTCGAATCCCATTCGTGATACTAATTTTTCAACTCATCAAAAACCTTAGATAAAAATAATAATTAATTGGAATAAATAAAACGGTCAATTATGACGACTAAGCAAATATGGATTAATTTTTTTTATTTATTGTTAAACAACCTTACTTCAAGTTTGGTATTAACATTGATGCTACGAATCAATATACAGTACAGAATTAGTAATTACAAAATCTTGGTGAATGAAAAATCTTATAAGTTAAGATTAGTTTCTAAAACAAGAATTGTTTTCCTGATAGCTTTTACACTAGGTTTGTAACATACTTATTTATCTAAAAGAGAAAAGGGAAGAGACAGTTTTAGAGTTTTAGATGCCTTCTCGCAATTGGGATTGTTCCGAGGCACTCACTAATTTAAAAACTTCGTCACAGGTAAGGAGGCGAAAAATTGTCGTCCCCGAAGTGTGAGAAACATTAAAACGGTCATAAATCAATTATGCTTTTATTTCGTCGAATTATAGTCAGTGGTTTATCGTTCAGGACCGAGTCTAGTTATCCCGAGACGGTTGAATTCGCATTAATCACACCGTTCACCGTGACCTCTCGGGCAGGGAGGGTGGCCCA